ACATGCGTGAATGCAAAACTCAACTCCAAGTATGTTTGTGAGGAGGAAATAACATTATAACAGAGATCAGAAAATAGTGTAATATGGTTCCTTTAAATAATAGGATTTGATAATGTATTAAGTTAGATTTATTTTAATTTAAATTATCAACGACATGCTCTTCTTACAATAGCAACCTGGTGAGGGGTTTGAGTGTGGGGTTAGGGTTGTTGTTTTTCGGTGATGACTGGCATGTTTGTGTGTTGTTGTATATAAGCGCTGATGAGACAAAAACACAGGCATACTAATATGATTTGGGAGGATGGATGACAGGAAGCAGACAGCTCTAATGCAGTAGCTCCTGCATTAAGTCCTTAGAGACCAACCAGAAAGAGCTTGCACAAGTAGAGAAAAAAAGTGCCTCATCACACATGTATCTTTATTTCATAACAAAAAACTCACATAAAAATACTGGTGACAAAATTGCTGTCACAGTAAAAAGATGTGCGCCGTCCACTCCCTTGTACACTTAGAAATATCCTTTGAGCTGACACAATACTGCTACCTGTCAACTCACATCACAAACAAACACAAGGAAAACTGCTGCAAAGTGGGAGGGGAATGACAAGCAAGTCCTCCACAAATAATATTCTATTCACACGTGCTGTACAGATGCTTTCTGGCTGTTTCAACAAGCAGAGAAGCTCCTGCAGATTGTGGTTACAAATCAGGGTCATTACACCAACTTGGTTTCTGCCATAGCATATTCAAAACATCAACACTTTAACTTAAAATTGCATAAAAAAATCTGCATTTTAGGAGAACTGAAAGAAGTGATCTTCTATTTGTAAAATGATAATGAAATAATGTTGGGCCATACTAAATATAGATTAAATTATCATTAATATGAGTCAATAATTAGACAATATTTATGTAGTTAATCAGATATGTGCTAAAACATGCCAATAAACATTTTGGTTGAGCTTCAGCCAAATCAAAACGTGATCAGACTACAAAAGTACTGAAATGTCTCTTTATATCCTTGCAAGATTATTCTGCTTTTTTATTTTTAAATCAGTTCTTTTTGCAGCTTTTCATGTAGTTTCTTATTATAGATATATACTCATTCTTCTAAATGTTCATTTTCAACAAAGGAATTTATTGAATTTATACATTTTATATACCCTAAAATAAAATTATAACTACAATTATAGCAACATTTAGTTATTTTTTTATATCACAAAATAAAATAAAAGTGAGAAATGATTTTGCCTTGGTATTGTGCTCTTCAGCTTGTCAACAACTCCTCAACGAAGGGCGGCTGCTGTAAATCCTTCGCTCAGCAAGTATAAGGCCTTCTGACCGCACCTGCCTGTCCACTCATCACAACAGGAGGAGCGAATCTTTTAAATGGATAGAAAGATTGCCAGAGAAGAGGATGTGAGTGAATGGGTGCGTGTGAGTACAAAGCCCTGGTGCCGTTGTTATTTCCTGCAGTGCTGGTAAGTTCTCTGAAAAGGTTTTGTGGTCGGAGCTCAGAATATGCTTTGCAGACAGCTGGCGAGAAATAACAAAATGCCAGCATGTAAATTAGAACAGTAAAAGGGTAAACAACAATTTAAAAAAAGGAATGGAAGTAATCATTTCTGACCCTCTCATGAAATTTCTACTGCAAAAGGGGCATTTTGTTTTGCTCATTGGTAAAGAATTCAAATTTTAAAGTAACGATTGATGCAGGCAGTGATCCTTAACCATAAAAAAGAAAACAAAAACCTCTAATCTTCAGAATTAAAATTGTGGACTGTTGCCAATACACAAACCAAAACATATGTAATCTTTTGGGCTGGATTTGGACATCTTCCTGTTTGATTTATTCACTTTTTGAGCCTTGAAAAAGTCTCCAAATCTCAATCCAAACAGATGTCCACTTTAATCTGTCATTCATTTTGGTCTTGGGTTAGCCTTTTCCAGGGTGATAGATCTATGATTAGTGGAGTGAGGACTAAATCTTCTCATTATCTTTATGCCAGGGCTAATCCGGACGCTTGCTGTCATTTATCTAGATTCTCTCTAAACTGAGGCTGCCCCATGCTGAGATGGGACAGTGCTTTAGGGGAATCTCCCCAACACACGCCTCATTACAGAATAGGACAGGACAAATAGGTGCCATTAGCTGCGAGCATCTGAGCTACTGCTTTAGATTATTGTTAAGAAGACCAGATAAAGCAATATTTCATAAATTTATCTCTAATGCATCCACATTATAATGTACAAATTAGGTTTGATGGATCACAAATCAAGTCCTACTCCTAATCCAACTCATATAAAACCCGTATCACTTTACGATCAAATATTCAGATTAAGAAGATAGCAGATTAAGATAAAGTGTAATGTTAAACCTCTTAGGGTCTCTATTTATCAATTAGTGACAAGTAACTAATCCTAACTAAAAGTAACACTGGATTAGGGCAAGTAATGAAGAAGGAGAGAGCAAGTAGGAGAAGATGTTTTGGTAAAGTTCAGAATAAGTGCATTATTCTCAAATATTACATATAAAAAAAAATAAAACAGACAATGACTTTTAGGTAGATATAGATATGTCACACTATCAAATATTGCCTCAAATGGAATACAACCCATGGAAATCAAAACAAGCAACAAACTACTGATTTACAATCCATATTTGTATTGGTATATAAAGAGACGTTTATTTATTCAGTCAGTAAAGTCTGAGGCAGCTATAGGCCATACCCCAGAGTGATCTATTGAACATCCATAATCTATCTTCCTATGACAGGGCGCACGGAGCAGAAACCAATTAGTGACGTGTCCCTTCGGAAATGGAGACGAGATACAATAAAGGATTCGCCTGCAGCACAGAAGCAATAGGCCAAACCACAATTAACCTTCCCTTAATGCAGGCAAAAACAAGAGCATACTCGCACATAATAACAAAACAGATGCTTCCATTGTAATATATGCAGGTGGTGTTGAACTGTATTGACCATGAGTAGCACTGGTCACTGGGGAGGCAAGGTTTTATTCAGGTCATCTTTCCTGTCTGTTTCATTTATCTTACGTTGACTGAGGCGATTTCCTGTTCCCCATACTGTCCAACTCTCCCACCTCCGACTGTTAGGATCTATTTTTTCCACTGGCCTCCTCCCTACCTGGCAGCACGGCGGGCGTAGGTGTGGCTAGCAACATCACAACAAGGATGCAAGGGCAAATGTGCACAAACTGAGATTGGGATTGCGTATAAACTGAATGCTTGTGTTAACTAGCTGAACCTTTTAACAAATGTAAGGATGGGCTGTTGTTTGTATGCAATGATGTACGAAATACAGTGTACAACCTGCCTGTTAAATATAAAAATGCAAGCTAGAAGAGGCAATACATAAAAGGTTACTCACTAGTCATTAATTCTGTAGAAATGTATAAAGAAATAGCTATAACCACATCACAACAAAATGATAATATAGATTAATGACTGATTGTTCATATATGCTGACATCTAAATACCTGGCACTACCCCCTCAGTTGCCCCCGGTGACAAGACGAGTAGGTTTGGGGGGTGGGGGGTGCGCACTGACCATCTGTCTATGGCCTGAAGATCAATGGATCCAGGGGGTGGGTGCCTGGTGCGTGTGGGGCGAGTGAGGGAGTGGTTACACGACCAGGCTAAATACGTGACCGACTGTGACCAAAGCTTGACTCCATATGTAGCCTGTTTATTTACTTGCCACAAAGCTCACTGTACTTCCCACAAGTGCAATACACAGCCTATAATCACAAGCAGTGCATTCTGGTGATGAGTTTCAGCAGCTGTGACATAAGGACAATTCTTAATTCACAAATAACTACAGTAATATACATGTTGATCTTACACTATCCAAAACAGGGGCTTGTTTCATCTACTTAGTTTACAGGAGTAATTTTATGCACACAGTTATTCACAAACGTATTGTAATAGGGATCTATTTTTCTTTTTAGTATCCCAATAACAATATTCATGTGATATTATGAAATCGAAGGGTGTTTAAACGTGTTAGTCAAGGTTTAAGTATCAGATCAATAGAAAATGACAGAAGTACAGAAATATCACTTCATACACTTTAGCTAGCTAAATAGATAGCTTTTTAATCAGCTATTTTTGTCTTATTTTTATAATAATATATTCAGTATTCAATAATCTGTCTACCTGCAGTTAATAATGGAACCATATTATAAAATGTGTATTTAATGGTCATTTAATCTTAATGTACACAGGCTGAAGTATGCTATCACCAAATGTTAGAAATGGAATGAAATCAACACTGACTCAATCAGTGCTTCCTCACAGAACCTTCCCTTAAGGGTAATCAGATATTTCCTAATTCCTATTTTACTGACCTATTCAACACTGTTATCATATATCACATGTTCCTCTACCAATTCTAATCCTGTTTCTCAAAGAAGGAAATGAGTTTAAACACTTAATAGTTTAAAATGAATGTTGTAGAATCACATCATGTGTGGAGTATCTGGCTTACTGTGGCAGTGGGTCACATGGGACGAGGACAACACTTTTCAGCCCTGTGTTAATGAATCAACAACAAAACAATGTCAGCCCCAGGAACTGCCTACATCAGCGACTACAACACCAGCGGGCTACTGAGGACACATGCAAGAACACAGAATAAATCCACACAAATGAATATAGGCCACTAAAGTTGACGAGTGGAAATGAATATTCACAGCATACTGGGAAAGATAAATATATGTGGTACACAGCAACTAGATCCTTACTGAAACAGTCTGACATGACACCTCACAACCTCACAGTGGAGTGAGCTCATTTAAAATTCACTGTTGGTGAAGCTCTGGAGCAGTGGCTAAACATCAGGGTGTGGAGAGAGCAGAAGAGCTGCACCAAACCACGGGTCTGAGTATAGTAGTCTAGTGTGTATTCAGTTTATATCATGTGTTCATGTTTAGCACAGTCTTGTGTTTCAGTAAAACATGGGAGCTGTGACACTTACCTAGCATTTGACTGAAGAGTAGCTGCTCCAGATCTCCCAGAACTGTCACAACTAGCTCTGGGTCCACTTTTAAAAAGCCCTTATCCCCTTCTCCTTCGACCCCCTTTTTGTCTTTCTTATCATCCAAAGACAAAGAAGCACTTCTGGTCTTGTCTCCTGGTTTCTGGCCCTTCAGGGAGCCTCCAGCACCATTACTGTTTGGTTTGGTGGGCAGGTCAGAGTCTGTGTCCGCACTGGCACTATGGTCTGAGGTCTTACTGATTGGTTTGACCTCTGCATAAGGCCCTCGTGGTTTACCAGGTCCAGGGATCCTGCTGGGCTTCCCAATATTAGATGTAACAGCAGGAGATACAAATGGTTTGGGTTTGCCCTGAAACAGAGACTGTTCTGACTTTGAGAGTGTCCGCGACAGGGGCGGTCTCCCTGCAGACTGTCCCGCTTTAGTCTGTGCTCCTTTAGTTCCAGGTCCAGCCTGGGTCGAGTCATCGTTCCAGCGAGGACACTGGTACAAGTGCAATTTCTTTTCAGCATCAGTTAATACACACAAGTTATTTAGAGAGCGCTGCTTCTTTAGTCCCGATGAATTAGGGACAGGAATGGGTATAGATCCAGAGGTGGGTCTGTAGACCTTGAGCTCTGACCCACTGGTCCGTGACTGTCCCTGTGGCAGAGCAGAAGGCTTGGCCATGGTTTTCCTGGAGGCCATGGCCTGCGATGAAGAGTCTGTGCTGGGGACAGCAGGAGACCTGAGGTCCAGCTCTCTAGGCTTAGCCGTCATGCTAATGTTAGCCACATTAGCCTCCAGCATCCCTCCTGCAGAGAAACCAGCAACAGCATCAGCACTGTCATTAACACACAGGAAAAGGTTACAAAAGGGGAAAAACAATGTGTACATATAAGAAAAACACAGGTCTAAATGAAGCTGCTCCCCTATCTGTCCCCAGAGGCGCCAGACTGAGCAAGACTCCCCTCTGTGACACTGACTTCAGCCTTCACTGAGATGATGATGAGTGGGTTAGTAGAGCAGCAGTCATCGTACTCACTGGTGGTAGTCCATGGATACAGAGACTGGAGTGCAGCCTTTAAATCCTCTCGTGATTGAGGCACAGCTTGTGTCCTCTCTAAAGACTACAGCGTCTAAAGGTGTATGAAACACAGACCAGTCTCTAGAGCTGTGTCCCTCCTGCCCGACAGGCAGTAGCCACTGAACTGACAGCAGCACAGAGGCAGCAGAACCTGCCCCTCCTCTCTCTCTCTCTCTCTCTCTGGCTCTCTGCTGTTTGCTCCACACTGACTCATTCACCCACCCCCTCCGTCTTGTCCTCCTCCTTCTCTCCTTCTCTCTTCCTACTGGCTGATTCAGCTGCCTGTCTGTTCAACACACACCACAGATGTTGTGTTATGCCGCACACCAGCAAGTGTGCACATAAGGGTTCTATGATCAGTTACTGTCCTTTCTTTTTCTGTAAGCTACAGTACAATACACAACAAAAATATCATTGTCAAACTGAAAAATATGTGTATGCCACCTGGTGACATTGTGCTGTGGATTCAATTATAACACACTAATATGATACATATTAATAGTTCTTAAATTACAGCCATTTTAAACTGATCCAAAATGGTGTCAACTGATTTGAAAGAAAAAATCACATCAGACTTCAACCATTCACTTGTTTCTCAAACACAACAAGGCAACTTAGTCACTAATTATGCTTCAATTAGAAACCACTGAAGCCTCGCCACACCCCTCCTTCATCTGTGACTCCTCCCTTTCTTCCCTACTCCTTATAACGCACACACCATCCCCCTACATTTAATATACACACTCATACACACATGTGTGTATGTGTGTGTATGGGGGCTACTTGTGCTGCCACTGAGTTCTGTGTCACATCAATGAGACAGGCCCAAAGATGTCACAGTACCCATCCAGGGTCTTGGTTATCTCTGGTACACTGGTGCAGTTACACTTATAAAAACATTGTAAACCACAGGTGTCAAACATAAGGCCCGGGGGCCAGATCCAGCCCTCCAAGACCTTTAATCTGGCCCTCGGCTGTTTTTCTACTAAAATATTTTATTATATTTTCTATTAAAATATTGGTAATTTTCTGTGGTGTTTATCACAGCAGTGTCTCCAGCGTTTCTGTGCGTGGCCCCTCCCACCAGAGCAGCACAAATGAAGACTTGTCTCTTTCCAAACGCTCTTAAAGGACGATCGTTTTGACTGTTGACCGTGACACCCTCATCAGCAAAATGTCCAAAATGAGAAAAGTGGAGCCGAGTGCAAGATTTTCCAAGAAAAATGTACTTATTCCTATTTGCATACAAGTTCATGTTAAAACTTTGTGTTGAAATTGCATTTTTCTTAAAGTTTCAGGTTGTTCATAATAATAATATTTTGTAAAAGAAAGAGTTCATCAATTAAAAAAGATTTCTGTAATAGATTTGCGTTTCTCTGAACAAATATTTGAACTTATTGTTATTTTTGGGGTTTATATGACATGAGTTTTCTGATCTGGCCCCTTTGAGATCAAAGTAGGTTGGATACGGCCCCCGGACCAAAATGAGTTTGACACCCCTGTCCTAAACCCTCTGATACTATGGTTTTGTTTGCCTAAAAATAGCTGCTTTTAAAACTCTTACTTGGGCGGAGACTTGATGAGTGAGGCCAACTCAAAAGCATTAAGTCATTCCTTTTTCCATTAGAGGTAATCATGATGACAATCTAAAGTCCATTAGGATTCATTAGCAAATAACAATCAATACAGCTGTTTAAAAATATTGTTTTCGATAAATTACATTAAGTGCTTGTCATGAAGTTAAAACTAGAGATGCATTGATGAATAATTCTCTGTCAAAATATCAATACTTGGGTTTTGAGTATTTGAAAATATATACCTACTGAAACGATTGCAGAGACATAAAAAGTAAAAAGGTATCATAAAACTGACAAAATTGTGGTTAGAATTTGTATGTATAATAATTAATTGTTGAGAGTATGAAGTGCAAACGTTTTTACAAATTTGTTTACTGACCTTTATTTAAGGTCACAGGATTGTCCTGATGAGATTCTTCAGTGGCCAGTGATTACTAATTTTTGGGGACTGGACCCAATACCAGATAATAGTTTTGGATGCATCCTTTGTAATACAAACATGTGAGGCTTTTCTGAGATAGATACAAGGCTGGCATTTAAAACACACTAATAGCATTTTTCAGTTGCTTCTGCATTATTCAATTGATGATAAACCAGAAGAAGAACAAGCTATGGCCTATGCACCCAGATTCCATGCTCAATATTTGCTTCTGTTTCATAAAAACTCATAAATAATCATAATTTCACCATTTGACCTCACAAATGCCAGATCAGATACTTGAACACATTACTGTTGCCATTTGTCAGGACAGCAAAACTAAAGAGTAACGGACATAGATTTCCATGGCAGGAAGGACATCCATGAAAAATAATGTGTTTACAAAAGTTTATAACATATTTATTTTCCTTAGCTGTATTCCTCTATTAATCCCTCTAAAATAACACACTGAATTTATGTTTTATCGTTAAGGTTAGCAACGTTGGCAAAGTAGGCTATTTGGAGGTAGCTTTAATAAAGTCCCAGTGTTGACTCGGTTTGCCACATTGAGTTGCTGGCTGTGTGGTGACAGTTATATGGGTCTTGTGGCAGATGGGAGGTGAGGGTAGGGGTTAAAAGTTGTAATTTAAGGGTAATAGGTGCAGTACTTAAGCTCTTATACCTCCCTGATGAGAGATTGGAGTTTGTTAAATCATGTAGTCCAGACACAAGGCAGGTCTATGTATCCACAGCTAAAATACACCAGTAATCCTATGTTCCTGAAACAGAGCTAAAGTGTTTCTTGATGGGCATACAACCACTAGTTTGTCAGTGTACTCGTCTCTCTGGCTCCACAGTCTAATCACCTTAATATACGGCTAATATAAACATAGATTTTCGCACTTGTAAAGGCTACTCACAAACACACACCATGTTGCTTGTGCACAGTTCGGCTCAAGGCAAGCGGCCTGGACGGACATCAGAGAGGCCAGATCGGAGTCAGCGCCAACACTTGTCATTACCTCAAACACAGCAAACTCACACATTCAGCCTGTACGTCAAGCCATTTGTGGGCTGGAAATCTGGGAAACAAGATGCGGCAACTTTGCATGAGTATATTTGCCCTAGCATCACTAAACAGTTAGGAACAGTTAATCCATTATATTGCCGTGAAGTCATGTGGAGCGGGCAGCAGGACACAACCTCATGCACAAACACATGGGCTGCCTGTGTGGTGCATTATATGCGTGTTTGTAGAGATACATAAGGTCATTTGTGCTAAAAGGAAAAGTACTGATGAAGTAAGATTTTTGAAAAAAATTTACTTTCTGAGTAAAGGTCAGAAAGTCAGAAAATCACAAATCCATGATCCAATCCATGGTGTATGTATTCCAGTAAGATATGAGCTTTTATCACAATTAATGTAGAAATTCTGGTAGCATTTGCAGTAGTTTTAATGACATTGTACAATGATCACCACTACAGATAGTGAGAAAACCACCAAATTTAAATTACAGAAGAATCTTTAGTCAAGCTCAAAACAAACACAATATAAGAAAAGTGTTACTGGTTAAGGAGAGTTTTGGGATTTGAATATCTAAGAGGATTTGACACAGAAAGCAGTAAGCAAGAGGAGGAAAATGGCAAGGAAACATCTTTTTATGTGTGCCGATGGAGAGGAGGAAGCCTGTAAGACAGAGAGGGGAAATCCTGCCCCTGCACACCTCATACATTCACTTTATGTCTATGAACACTTGAACTAAGAGGCTCCACAGGACACAGAGTATAACACTACGGGCTATGACACAACACTGGAAGGCTGTGTGGATGTCCTGTTTACTGACAAAACAGTGAGCTGGCGGACGACTACACATAGCACTTAGCGCCTCCCCAAACCGTACAATAAAAGCGTTACTGTGGGAGAGTTTGCCCAGTGACGTGTCTGAGGTGGTCCCAGCAAGAGCGGGGTGACGCAGGCTTTGACTCACCAGCTAAAGCATTTGGGCTATTCGGGCTCTAAAGGGCTATCAATGACAATAGTGTGGGTGTGTATCCATCAGACACACGTAAATCTCACAAAAACACCATTCAATGTCACCTATTCACTGTGAGTCACCATGAGCTGAGGGAGAGAAAAACAAAAAAATAAATGATGGCAAAAAAAACATGATCATGTTTGAATTTTGGTTAGTCAAGTTAAATCTCTGGCTTAAAGCTCCCTTCAGTGTTGACATTCGGAGCAAGCATCCCAGAGGTATCCCACAATGCCTTGCTGCAGAGCTGGTTGCCTGGTTACTGCGTGGCGCCCACAGCTATGGATGTCCTTAAATAGTCCTACTACATTACATTCAAATGTGAAGGAAAGTGCATTTCAGCACTTTTAAAATGTGTATGATGATCAAGTGCACACATTTTAGTTGCTAAAATGATTATTTAATATCACTACTATCCTCATTTTGGTATCTTAAAAAGTCCCAAACTGGTGATTTGAAAAGAAATTATTGTGTGTTAATATTATTAATAATTTGCTCACCTGAAGTGCACCGTTTCTGGTGGAGGGTCCTTAGTGTCTCCATAGAGATGTTATTGCTTTGCCTGGAATGTCCCAGGTTATGACATTAAACATATCCATCTAGCATTTATTCAATACAGGTGTTTCTTCTGTAAATAGAGATGACTCTCCACAGATCTGAATTGTAATGCAGCATAGTGCTATAACCTGCTTGTCTCCCAGGTCATAAACAGATTTACTCTATACTGTGGAACATTCTAGACAAAGCAATAAGATTTCCATGGAGACAAGCAGGTGGTAGATCCTCTACTAGAAAGTACCTTTAAATTAAATATTTCCATTAACTACTTACTTCACATGAACTGAACTACTAAAATAAATTTACTTTAATGCATTTCTGTATTATGAAATTATGTTTTACTGTGAGATTGAGAGTAAATTATATTGTCCTAGTAAAATGTAAAGACAGGATTTTGACCACTGTAATGCAGACTTATACTGGTGTGTGAATGGGAGGTTGTATAGCTTGATTGTCCATGGGTTATTACTTTGACACATAGATGTCTTTGTGTGTGTGTGTTTTCCTGTGTGCGTTTGTACGTGTGCATTTTGTGTGTGTGGTCCACAGAGAGATTATACACATGAATGCCCCCATAACTCACATCCTCGGGTCTGGATTCACCCTCAGAGGTCAAACACTGAATCTTAAAGTGTGCACTCGTCCTGTCATCCCTCAGTTCACTCCCCCTCCTCTGGCCCTCCCTTTTGTTCAGCGATTAAAGCTATTACTCATATTACTGTGACTTCAACATTGTAAGGAAATGTCTCTGAAGCCAAAAAAGTACAGAGGTCGAGCTTTGTCTGAGTACAGTGTCAGATCAGGGAAAAATGTCTCACACTATCACTAATGAAAGGAGACTTGGTGGGTTCGCCTAAAGGTGTGAATTAATGAGCAATTATTGAACAATAATATGCTGCAGTAATCCAGGGGTTACAAGTCAGCATCTTCCTTATGTTGGTCACAACCCAGTTGATAAAAATAAATTAGATTAAAAATGGAATTTAGTATTCTCAATTTAGAAAAACACTACAATCTCTACTAGTATTATGAAACAATTTGAAAGATTTGTAGTTGGTTGACCTATATGAGTTGTTGCTAGGACTTACTAGGAATTGCAATTACCACAAGAACTAGTTCATGTAACAATATGCCATAGCACTGTATTCAATATCTAGCTTTTGTAATGTGTAATTGACCTTGCAATGAAAGTACAATTAAATATTGTGGATAACTTTCTGGTGAAGCAAATCAAAACACTACAAACCTAATATTTTGAAAATTCAGTACCATTTAATGCTGACAATAAAAGACATCTTCAAATTAGACCAAGCATATATCGTACACATAACTGCATCACTAAAGAATTACTCACTTTAATGACCACAGACATGCCAAAAGTCCCAGATTGATCCTCTTTGACGTTCAAACCTAAATAGTGATTACTAACTCACTTGTGCAGATGAGATAGGAGATAATCCAGTGCATGCTTATGTCTGATCACCGCTAAACCACTCATCACTGCCCAAGCCTACGCTGCAGTCTGCATACAGTATGTCTCTGATTAGATTGGCCCAAGAGGATTATACACTGTCTAAGAGTCCATACAACAGATTTGCAAAATTATATCAACCACACTACACTAACCAGCAGCAGCAAATGCATGGAAAATACAAAATGTAAAATGTATTTTTTCAGATCCATATCTACAATATAAAATTATGTAGAGTAATGGGCATAATTCTCAAAATGGACCCTGAGTTATTGTTCAGACCTCTATAGTGCATCCTCTTCACGATAGCAATATATACATTTTATGTCCCTCATTATACACACATAAAAGTGGAGAGCTTTTTACAGCATGACTTGGGGCTGTCCATGGGGAATATATGATTGACCTTTTACAGCAAAATGAAAAGTGATACAAGGTCAACATCACATTCATCTTCCAAACACCATCTGTGTACTGTCACATGCACATGAGCCACATACATACACAACAGCAGCAGAGACACTTGATCACAAGCACAAATGCACCTCTCCTGAGAGCCTGGGGTCAGGAGGTCCAGACCTAATTGAAAGACCACATGGAGCTATAGTCACATTAAATGGCCAGGTCTTCATTAGAGGCTGCACAGAAGAGGTAAGGAGAGCTGATTATGTTACCAATGATTGAGAGTAACCACACTCAAAACATTCACTTAAGAGGATTTGCTTTGTTCAGACATACTGAATAGCAGAGTCAAGTCTACTAGTATATAAATGTGTGACAGTAAAATAAGTTAAATAATCAGTAATATATTCAAATGCAGATAGTCTGGAGCCTGACCATAGAGAGCATCAGAAAGCTGTCCACATTTGGAATGCCAATCACAGCTGTTTATTTGAAGTACGTGTCTCTCAAATGCGGAAGACATCTCCTCTCAAATCTCATCATCAAGGACAAAATATACACAGATTGTGCCTCACACAAAATCTATGCTCCTTCTCAGCCCTCTGTGTTTTTTTTTTCCTTTTTATTAGTAAGCTGTCATGTTTGTGTGTTTGTGTCTTTGACATAGACAGATCAGAAATTGTGGAGCCCATGTTCCAGACATCTTTGTAAAGTATTGTAAAAGTGTGTAGAGTCTTGGGCTTCCCAGGCAACTGAACAAGCATGCTTCAATAAGAGACAACAGGCTAGATTGCCTGATGGGTCTGTTTTGGCCTTTAATGAGGCATAAATAATTGCCTTGCATAGATTTAACATTAATCTCAGATGTAATAGGTAAGCTGTCTTTGATGAAAAACTGTGATTCAGTTTTATAAGTTGTTATAAAATAAAAGCTGTCAGCGATTGGTGGAAACACTTAAAGTGTTTGTAGCACCTGTGAGGGAGGTTGTAAAATGAGATAGTTTAACATTAACCTGCCTTTTAATCTTTGCTCCCCTAATTACTTGTTCTCTCTTTTATTAAAATTCATGAACTGGCTGACCCCCTTTTCATCTCTGAACCATTTCAACCTTTCTCCCTTTTCTAGAAAACTTTGTATCCTTTCTTTGCCTCCCTAAGTCAGATTTTTAAATTACAGTTATTACCAAGCCATGATCCCACCCTCTGTGTAAATGCAGCTTCAGAACAGCTCTAACACACTCGAGATCAGTTTCTAACGCCTGCAAGGGCCAATTACAAGGGCTCAACCACAGTCTCGAGACAGGGCCGCTTTAAAGAGTGGAGCTGGTTCCCTGGAGGACCCCGCCCCCTTTTACACAAGCAGCTGCTCCAAACCCCCAAAAAGTCTTTTAAAGATGCAGTCTGCGCAGTGATGTAGTAGAGGTCAAAGTCAGAAATAAGGTTAGATAAGGACGTTTAAAACAAGAAACTGTACAGAAATAAGTTCAGCATTGTGTGCCAATAAGGATACTTATTATAAAAAAAACAACAACAATGTGAGCAGACCATTACAGTAGTCTAACCTACTGGTGACAAACACATGGATAAGTTTCTCCAAGTCTGCTTTAGACAGTAAACCTTTGAATTTTGCTATGTTTTTTAGATGGTAAAAGGCTACAGGTGTTATTGATTTGTTGTGGCTGTTAAAGTTCAAGTCTGAGTCCATTATTACCCCTAGATTTCTTGCCTGATTTGAAGGTTTTAGAGAGAGAGACTGGAGGTGACTGCTGACACTGTCCCTTTGTTTCTGTGGACCAAACACTATGACTTCAGTCTTGTCAGAGTTTAGCTGGAGAAAGTTGTTTTGCATATATATATATATATATATATATATATATATATATATATATATATATATATATATATATATATATATATATATATATATATATATAGAGAGAGAGAGAGAGAGAGAGAGAGAGAGAGAGAGAGAGAGAGAGAGAGAGAGAGAGAGAGAGAGACCCTTGGTGAACCTTGCATAAAAATCTTTGTTCATACTTTATGCGTCTGTAGAAAAAAAGTTGATTTGTGTTTTTGTTGATGATGATTGTTAAGTGGGACCATCCTTACTAACATTCCATGCTGTTCAGGATTTTTGCTTCACCACAAAAGCAGTAGAACATTCAAGAGAGACAAACCACAGATAAAAGTCTCAGAAGGCCTTTCTCAAACTGACCACAGCACGCTGTGACTGTGTCTGTGGGCGCCCAACACACGACAGGAGACGCTGATGCAGTCATGCTGGCACAGTGACTTTGTAGGTCACTGCAGTGGACTAAAACTAAAGAGGAAGAAGAAAGCTTCAACAAGATAAGAGGAGGAAGATTTTCTGGTAAGAGGAGGAAGATATATACATTTATATATAAATGTATAGAATACATTTGATGTATATGAAAACAAGAATAATGAGTATATTAAGAAAAAATATTTAAAAGAATAGGAACTTGCAGTGCGATCTTTCAAACAATACAGTGATATTATTACAGTTCTTCTATAGTACAGTAGTACTGATGGATGCCAAAATATAACCATTGGGATTACAAAAAACAATAAACCATTTTGGACAATATCATCCACACCTATTCCTAATAAAGTCATTTTGATCAATCACATTTAAGTTTAGCAAATTGTGACTAGTAAAGAAGTTGGCTTCTCTACATAAAAGGTCAACATCTTTTTTTTCTGATTGCTTCTCTATCTGGGATATGTACTCATAATCAGCATTTCCCCAAAAACATCCTGTCTTTTTAATCTAAAAATTAAATTATATATACCTTTGTCTTTAACCTTGAGTTCATAGCTGGAAGCGTTTAGGAATTCTTAACTTTGATAACCACTACAAGCACTTGTTCTAACCCTCCACAGGCTCACTAGAGACAAAGCTCCAGAATGACACAGAAAACACTAAAATGATGCTTCACTACTGGCCCAATGAACATCGGCCACAAACACAGCTATCTCCACTGGCTCTTAGCTTCAATCAGTCCCAAAGGTCATCTGCTCCGTGCCATTAACAGTTTAATGTCACCAATCTGCCTCTTGGAATAAAGGCATATCTAGATTGACTTGACAGCCGAAAAATACCATTCATTTTATTAGTATCTAACCAAACTAAAAGCAGCTATGTGTGTCAGGTAAATGTGTGTAGATGTTTTTTACCTGGAGTTATGTCGTCACAACAGATTTCAATAGATCCAGAAGAGCAGTCACTCAGTTCATCGATCATGGAGAGGTCACTTTCTTGAATATGAACTCTGTGAAAACATTACACGTGGTTCATCAACAATCATCAAACTATGCCCCTTTAATTGTCTTCATAGTTTTTCTAACTGTAATATTGGTAACACGGTAAAGGAGTGAAGCGTGGTTTATGCATCACGATTTCAAATGCACTGTCCCATCAAATGAAGCTGAACACTTTATCAATAAACAGCAGCCTAACATTAATGCATTCCCTTTTAACAAAAATAAACTACCAACCCTATCACAGAAAACCAAGACCTGTCTTGTCAAAGATGACAAGACGAGTTTTTTTGTATTGTGGTTAAGCCTTACCTGAAACTAAATGGAGCCACAGTGGCCATGTTGACCTTGGTGTCTATGGATGTCTCCTCTTTTTGCTGGTATTGGTCCTGTGGACTGGCTGATGTAGGTAGCAAAGACTTCATGTTGAAATCCATTTGTGGTGGTGGCAAAGGAGCAGGAGAAGAGGCGGGACTACCATCCTCTGGAGTCCTCATCTCTTCATCTGATTGGCTCAAAGAGTCAGTGCGGTCTTTTAAGGCAGCATCATAACTGGGCTTAACTTGACTTTGATAAGTGTGGAGGTTACTCTCTCTGTCCCTTGTGGATGCACTTTCACTAGAACATATATTAGAGTTCAACCCATGTCTAAAGTGTTGCTGTGAGGGTTGGCAAGAGGTAACCAAAGTTTGGTTCTTATTAATGCAGGGGTTCCTGTTTCCATTTTGTTCAGTCTGAGAGTAGGATGGTTTCCCCAAATCCAGTATGTCTTTAGAGTGCGTTGGTGTTATTCTGCGCTGAGTGATGGGACTGCTGTAAGCCGACCGAGAAGCTTGTGGAACTGGAAGAGTCCCGGTCCGCTGAAAGAGCTGGCTTTTTAGATTATGGTCCCTGGCAAAGAAAGCAGGAATGGCTGAGCTGCGCTGGCATAGTGAGGGTGAGTGGACTGGGGTGTGAGAGGGGGTGACTTTAGGGCTCTGTGAGGATGTCCTTCGCTGGTTAGAGGTGCGCTGACGGGGGTCTGTTTTGGGAGAGGAGGGCAGAAGGCTGTGAGGAAGAGGGATCCCTGAGGATGAAGCCCGGGGGGCAGATTTCACATTGATTCCTCCACTCATCATTTCTCTAAAAAAGGAAGTAAAAGAGATAAGTTAACTTATTATAGGTCTTCCCATGAGGTTACATAATATGACATTCCCGACACCCATAATAAGGTTAGGTTTGCTGTTCTTAAATGGCATGTGACCATGTGACATATGTGACAAACAGGGACATGGTATACCACGAGTTCATCTTATTTTCAGCTAAGAATTGACAGACTGCAAATCAGATTTGCCTGCTAGACATTCAAAACACAAACACACCACTGATACAAACTCAAGGCTCACAGGCAGGGCTGCTGGTCAGGGCAGTATGTTCTCGAATAACTGATTTAACATGCATCATCACAGAGAAATGGGTTCTTTCACATTATACAATGTACAATAAAAGATTCATTTTCTCACAACATGGGTTAGTTCTGGTTTAGTCTTGGTTTAGTCCTGGTTCAGCCCTGAGTTACTCCTGGTTTGGTCATCAATATGTCCTTATTAGACCAGGGCTCTCAATTAGGAAACTTTATATGAAATTCTTACTAAAAGTGTACGCAGAGACAGAACACAAATTTCCACAAACTTTGTCAAACTTGCTCTTCTCTGTGTGAAAAGATCGCCTTTGATCTCATCTCTGAAAGCTTTGATGCCCAAAATTCAGACCCTTAATCCAGTTAAGTGATTTTATAGATCACTAATTTAATATGGAAAGTCACATATGTAACATTTTGTACATACTTTATAAATGAGACCCCAGCTCACTGCTCTCTAAACACTTTGATTTGATATTTGAAGATAATACATCTAGCTTTAGAGACTAAAGTTACAAGAAAGGTATACAACAGCCTGCCAAGACTCTGTTCTACTACTTTATCATAATAGTCAGAATTCCTCTTGTTTTCCTACTATGAAAGGCAATATCACTATTGTGTATGAGAATTCAGCTCTGTCCCCCACTGCCCCTGAACATCTCCAGGAGCACAGGTGCAGAGGGCCAAAGCCATTTGTATGGAAATGATGTATTCTCCTGGGACAGACTGAGATCATACCAGCACTATTACAGCTCTGATAAAGACACAGGCTCAGGTGGTGGCACTGTCCGCACTTTTTAACAAATGGAGGGTGAGTCATTTTATATTAAGCTTTTAAGTGGTCACATTTTTATATAGCAATTTTCCACCTTCAAGGCACTCAAAGCGCTTTACAACAAGAAACCACTCACCCATTTACACACTCACACTTTACACCAGTGTACGCAGACACTAGGTGCGAGGAGGTTTAAGTGTTTTGCCCAAGGACACAACAACAGCATTCATCTGTGGGAAATGGAAACACACTGCCAACCTGTGGGTCAGTGGAGCTGGATTCCATCTATTACAAGATGTCATAGTTTGATTAATAATTTTGGGATTATATTATCAATATAAAATAATAAACATTTATTTATGTTTTACTTTTTAGTGCTATGTCTTTCTCATTCAAAAATGAATATCCATTTTCATATAAAATCTAAAGTTTACATGCCTTACGTAACATAATGACAGTGTATGCCATTTAAGATACTAAAAATTCCTGTGGCCTAGCTATTCATTCAGCAAGGGAGATAGTGCCACCTATTGGACAAAGTGTGCAATGACAGCAGTCAGAATATTCCACTATTGAACAATTTTCTCATCTCTGTAAATGTTTATTAAACATAGTATGTCCGCATACTCAGATTAAATAACTTCCCTATTTTTGCAATAAAAAAGCTACATGTAGTTTCAACGGGTTGGGATTTTGTGACATCACAACATAAATGGACACAAAGTTCCACATCTTCTTCATTTATTCAGACATAAAGGCACAGTTGTTGTTGAAAGTTGTGTAAGTCATTAGATCACTGTGGTAGTTTGTAGACTCCCTATCAAAAAAAAATATAAAGTTCATCATTTGTGGGATTCTGTTTCATTTCATTCAGAAACAGTGATTTGTCACAGGTTATATAGGTCCCATGCCCGTAACTTGTAATGGCAAGATACTCTCACTGTGAAGTCATAACCTCATTACTTCATAGCTGCTCTGTCACATGACCAAAACTGTACTGATTCTGTTAAAAGACATAAAATTCTCTCACAAAAAAAGTCAGGACCTTGAAATGAATATCCTCTGACTCATCCACAAATCAATACGTGAACTGAATCCGAGGGACATAAGCAGAGTCAATGTTTGCCAATGAAATCTAGCGAAGAGGGTCAACAATGAGGTCATTTAGCTGCTTAATGATCAAACCCCTCTAAGGGTTCAATGTTACCTGTACTCTAATAATAAGAAATAAGTAATAAGTAACAACTCCAGAATACCGCTGTTGATAAAATACAAAATAAATGCCATGGTACCAAGGTTGGCCCTAAAGTATCAATCTTACCTTTCAATGGGGCAAGTTCTTCTTGGGACGTGTCTTGGCGGGATATGCAGAGCTGGCAGGAGGTAGGTCCCACTTCTCCAACGTCCCTCTAACAATGGTGTGTTTTTTCCTGGATCACTGTTGCATCCTCATAGCTGCTCTCTCATTGGTGGGCACTACCTAACCATTCACCGACACAGGAAGAAATGACAAACAGAAATAACACTTTTAGCCAATCAAAACCTCTACCCCAAAGTGACTCATATGTACAGCAATTTCAAATGTTTGTTTCTGCGATTTGGCACGAAAATTACTTGTTTGAATAATACAGTCGTTATTGTTTATGTTATTGTGAGCCAGTGGTCTAGATGGAAATTTACTTGTCCCACAGTGACCCACAATGACACAGTGTCATGCAGAGTTGAAAATCCAGATGTGAAAATGTCCTGGAAGTGGAACGATGGTGTTTTTTCTTTTTTTTATTTCAAGTTATGATTTATCTTAATCCTGAGCCATTTCTATTGTTGCTTTTTCTGTTCTAGCTTTGACCAAAATATATTTACCGCGGCCTGGATTCTTTCTCTTTTGACAAGTTTTAGTCATTTGTTTCTGTCTAATTATTTTGGTCTTTAAAAGATCTCTGGTATTAAAAACTGTAAATAAATACCAGATTTGGAATATAACTTAATAACAGTCCTCTAAAACTACAATATATTACCATATTCAAGACAGAGTAATGGTAGCTTCCTCAGCGGAAAGTTGATGCATCTTCTTAGCATCATAACTCATATAGACAGGACAGTCCATAAACAAAGTATATATGCGCATCCTCTTTATGGCTCTCTGTGCTGGTTCTACTGCAGGTCTAGTAGGAAAAAAGTAGCTGATCGTCTTGCTTAGACTCTGTAGTGTGCCAACGTGCAACATAGATAATTGAGAGCTGTACGTACTTGGGCCTAAGATATAATAAAGTACATCAAGGACAAACAGTGGAGACACATGCAAAAACAAGAAGGACACGGATTTGACAAAAAATAATGCTTATCTACACTTTACTGTGCCTCTACTTCCACTGGGATGATATAACCAAAGAACACAACAGAACAAATTCTCCAATACTGAACTTGAGCTATCTTTGTCTTTTCCACAAACCAACACAGCCTGTCCAGCCCAAATACACACTCTTTAGCATGCTACTGGTGCCGCCCTGACTCATACAGGGCTCTATACAGCTGACTCAGGCACAACACATCTTGTCACCTCTGCTTCCCGTATATCCCCTTCCCCCTTCTTTCATCCACTTATGCCCTCCATCATACTATTTGCATCTCTCTTTTACTACTGTACTGTTTATAATATAAGGTATTTTTACTACATTCTTTCTTTTACACTTTCTATTTTTGGTGTTGTCACAGTAAATCTTCTTTGCCCCCAAGTTCACTATAATCTCAATATGGATTTGGCATCAGGTATACACTGTTTGACTTTCATTATTACAGGTTTGGGACTGGGATTAAAACTATAACAGATAGTGAACCAATCTTGCTATACATGCTAATACATACAAATAATAATATATATTCAATAGTCAAAATAAGCAATCAATATTCAAAAAGTCAAAATGAAAAAAATAGTGTTACTCACCTTTAAAAAGCAAGGGATAAAATACAAAGCAGAAGTCAGTTAGTTCCCCATCTGTATTCTGCGCAGTGTGTATTCTGGCTCAGACCCGGTCTACTTTTGGCCATCCCGGTGCGCTGGGAGCATGTGCATTTGTGTGTGTTTGTGTCTCCTCTCTCACGTCACGCCACTCGTGTTGCTGCCGCAGTACGCCTGCAGCCAAAGTCCCGCCCCTCTCTCTCTCACTTTCCCTCTCTCTCTCCTCCACTGTAATGGACCTGTTGGCTTGGGCTGCCTCCCTGTGGTGAAATATAAGCTCCGTTATAGCAGTCTGCCCCATTAGCTGGATGAGTGTATCTCTGTGTACGTATTGGTGGGCGAGTGTGTTTCTAGCACATGGCAGCCTGTATAAAATGACTAATGCATGATAATTAAGCAGATGTAGCCACACAGTGAAGGGACCAAGCCCTTACATGTTTACAGCACCTAATTGGTGGTTAGCAAAAGTGTTTTTAAAGACAGCTAAAGCTAGAGTCACTGAGAAAATAACTAACAAGGCAGTAGGCATGTGCCAGCCAGATGTTCCATATAGAGATTAAAAGACTTTCTGGGGGTAAAAGTGTTAAAACAAAATCCAAGGCCAGGTTAAATCGATGCATATTAATTGACTTTTCAGGACCAGACCGCATCAACTTAATGAACTCATGTCAACTTCAAATTAAGGTTTCTTGCTGATGTGGTTATGAACTATGTGGTGTGCAGTAATCTTTAATACCATGGTTCTAAATAAGCATTTCCTCTTGACACTAATGAAACATTTATGAAAGTTAAGTAGAAATGACAAGCACAAGTTAAATCATATCAGACCTGATTGGATGCATGTAGTGCATGTAGTAAGATGACCTTTCTCAAATAATCCTGTACTTTGACACACTTCTTTGTCAGTCTTATAATCGTCAGTCTCACATTTCTGCTATGCTTGCTTACAGACACACTGGAAAATCATTGAATATTTAATGAGGACTATATACAGATTTGATATATAATATGGCATTTAAATATAAGTCTTTGTAATATATTTAGCAATGATTTGAAGGAGACATTTGTGTTGTAAATCAATACTTCCACTTCTAAAAGCTCCTTAAGCCTTCTTACCGCAGTAAAGTACAGTCTGAGAGCTTTCTGGTTGATCACATATTGATCAGGGATTGAATGAGCTAACCCTGGACGTGGCCTGGCTGTCTCCACTGTAAATAACCACAAAATCACTCTCAGTTCAGTTCACCACATGTGACTGGAGAGCAAAGCCCTGAAGTACACTAGAGCTACAAGAAGTAAAAAACTTGTGATCTACAGTGTACAGAGTACTGCCCACAGATTTTGATTTTTATGTACAGTCTTTTTGTTCAAGACTGGGAATGAATAAGAATGTACATGCTTACAACAGTGGGTACCATAAATACTTAATGGTAATTATTTACCCATAATTAGTTTCAATGAAGGCTCCAAGTAAAAGTATAGAGTAACCTTCACACAATATCTTGCATTTTAAAATTTGTATTTTACATTTACAGTATAACTGTCCTCAATGCACTGTACCCTATAATGCCAAGCCCCTCCCCCTCACTGTACGATGCACATATACTCTAGTCTACTGAATGTAAACAGCATCACAACAGGCTAATTCTCACCTTTAATGTTTGCCTTTTTACCCAGCTTCTGTTTCAAGATCCACTTCTGCAAAAGCCCAAAGTCAACCACATGCACAGCACTCATCACATGATGTGGTGCTTTGTCTGAGTGGCCCATACAAGGGGAAGTCACTGCAAACAAGGGATTATGGGTAATAACGTGTGCGTACTATAGGCCATCTATGTCTGAGGCGTGTGTGTGGGATGGGGCAAAGGGGGGTTAATGTCATAACTAATCACCCCATATCCCCTAAGACACATTCATCTGCCCCAGGATGTAGACTGTAGCAGACGCTGCTCTCACAATGAGACACTTGTGTGACTGTCCCCCTGAAGGGCACAGAGGGAACCAGGGGGAGGGGCTTACATGTTGATTAGCTGAAACAAGCCTCACATATGACCTTCAGAGAACTAACACATACATAATACATACAGTCCAATCTAAACACTTGATGCACATGTATATGTCATAGTATGTTAACAAGTAAAGCATTGTCTTGTGTGAAATTAGTTATTTAACATTTTTTTTGTTAATTATAAAATAATAATACTACAGAGACTAGTGCTAGGATAGTTTATTTTATAAATTTCAAGATTATGTTTCTATAGTTTACACATTTTCTGCCAGTATAAACTGATGCAAAGATCCTAACACTAAACAAAACCATTTAAAACATGATTATCATATGGTCATCATATACAAAATACAGTATGTTAACATGTTAACATATATTGTTCACCAAAAATAATGATGAAAAAAAAAAATATATATATATATATATATATATATATATGTGTGTGTGTGTATGTATGTATAATACAAAGTAGGAAAAAACTTCATCAGGACAAATCAGTTTACCCTGATTACCCTGAAGGCCGAAGGGCCGAAACGCATTGGCGTGATTTTAACATTATCTGCCATGCGGTATTAAAGGTTTTTAATTATTTTGTACTTTTTGAGTGCCTCAGTTTTTTCCTACTTTGTATTTGAGACTGGTCCCTACAACGAAAAGCACCAAAATGACAATTCTGCACACTTTTTGTATATCCAAGTAGCACTTCTGCCCCCAAAGCTTTGTAGATGCTATATATGTCTGACAGTGTACCAGCTTAGGCCTAAGAAAATACATTTGAGATTGAACATAGAGGAATTATTACCTATATCTATCTATATACCTATAATTATTACATTTAATCCTTAAGACATGTACAAATAAATGTAATTTGATGGGGGTATTTTTGCATTATATTATTTATAAGATATAACTTCTGCATGTTCAACTACTACAGAATGAGAAAAATGTTTATTACTATGAGAGGCCTTTAAAGGCTTGGGCTTAGGGCTAAACTTCTCTGCACTGTCTTTTCTGTCTTTACGATACCTGCACTAACAAGTTAAACCAGCTTGGACCACTGGGAGTAACCCAAAAAGACATTTACGCCAGTAAACAGTGCACCGCAGACAGAGGAGGGTCGGAGGTCGCACAGGTAAGACTCAATACTCTTGACTTCTGCCTGTTTCTTCTAATGTGTCTCAGTTATTTATGTTGGAGAAAACCTCTGCAGCTTTTTCATCTAATATTCAATTGGACATACAGCTATATACATCTAAGAACCACAGACACTGAATAATTGTTGATGTAGATTGCATTAATTTGGATTTACCCAAATCTAGTAATACCAGTACAATGGACAATACCTTACAATGCACAGTAGCCTTTGTATAATGTCTGATATTTTGTTTGTTTCTGGATTTTCATTTTTTTTATGAAAGAGAAAGACACTGCTGTGTTGCTTGGGGACATTTGTAGATGACTAGCATACCTTCAACACATAGGAACAGCCATTTAAGAGGCCAGCAGAACAGACATGTTCAAACACAAGGCTGTCATTAGTGCAGGTCTTTCACACGTAAACTTTTCTCCCCCTTTTTCTAGGTGACAGACTCTGACAGAGGTCAGAAAAAGAAATGGAATCATCTACAAACCATAATATGAGAGGTATCAGTCACTATATGTTTTTAATGTGAATGTAGTACATTAAAGTAAATTTAATACTATGATTGTTTACATTTCAGTACCAGACTGGAAAACTGTGCCGGACCCAAAACAAGCATCATGGCTGGTGTGCGAAGAACTCCTGCAGAGAAACAAAGGCTGCAGGCAACTTTTTCTCAGTGTAGACATACGCAAAGATAAAGAGGAGCAAGACCAAGAACTAGTGGAGTTTTATAAGAAAAACAACATTCAGTGGGCGTCACCTCTTGAGTGTAAACTTCGAGGTAAGGACAGTCAGTCACATAGAGAGACCTAATAAACTGATGCTGTGTGGTATGAAAACTGTCACTTCTCCACAGGTGATGTAGCAACAGGAAGTGGAGTTGAGCGTCACATGTTCTCTATGGTGATTTTTAAACTTATAAGTGGATTTCACATACATTTAGGTTAGGCATAAGAGCACACAAACCATACATAAAGATACAATGAACTTCATGTGTTTTCATGTAACTTTTTGTCTTTTGTTTCAGGGGGTATGAGTATTACTAAACTATTTGAAGGTGAGACTGATCACCTGATCCCATCCGTCTCTCAAGAGTTACTGGCGAAGAACATGTTCACTGTAGCAGGACGGATGATTGGACACTCATTCTTGCATCAAGGCCCAAGTTTCTCTGGACTAAGCCTTGCTATAATTCATGTTCTGTTTGGAGGATCAGAGGAGACCTGCCCCATCAGCATAGCAGACTGTCCTGACACAGACATCAGAGATGTGGTCAATGTGGTAAGATGAAGTATGAATCTAATTATATTGAATATTGAACTCTTAATACACCTAGTCAACTGAATAACTAATATTTTAATAGCTTCATAGCGAAGTGGAATTGAAAAACGCAGAATTCATAGATCAGCTTTTCCTTGGGCCTTCCAACACCAAACAGCAACAATAGAAAATGGCTTTCCAAAAAGATACTTCAACATGCTGTAATGTCAACCTTTACACAACAATATCACTTGATTCACACAATAAGTGTCTGGGTATTCATAAATCTTTTGTTCGGAAGGTCATTGAGGGAACAAGGGGGCAAGTAAACCAGCTAAGACTAGGACTACAAGAGACAGGAGTTTGGCCACTTCTAATGCAAAGAAGAGATGTCATTCCTTATGTATTTCCACGAGAATCAGAGACATATATAACACCGCAGGTAAAAGAGCATATAAGAGCAAATAATGTACAGATGCTTTCAATAAAGCTGTGACTGTCCATGATTTCAGATTGTTCTGGACTGCATCATCTGGCCTACGTCTGTGACAGTCTTCTTTGACAACTATCACGTTGTAGATGATAATGTTGAGCCGGACAGTGTGGATGTATGCCGAGTGTGCAGCTACTTAAAAATATTTATTGAAAATGGTATGTACTTTAATCCTTTACTATCACAGCAACAGGATTATCCCACTAACTTTTACTTAACATCAGCTGCTCCTGCAGAGCTCAAGAACCTCCTGAAGTTCTGGATAGGATGGGAAAAGCCCACCACAGAAATGAAAGTGGAAATTGTGAATGCGTCTTTTCCCTCAGCGTCGACCTGCTT